AGGGAAGTTTGCTTATTTTTCACTACTTTTTTAAATAACCGTCAACAGCCTGCTTCGGATTAGTTTAATCAGTTTTTCACAGCACAGGAATTAAATAACCGTCAAATTTTCGATGGGATGCATTCAATTTAATGAGAAGCTAGTCTCTCGACTGAAAATTGGACTTACCGCTAAACAGTTTTGAAACGAAAGCCGTTGGATTTTGCAAACGCGCGGCCGATGTCGTTGTTGTCCAGTTCTTCATAAAATTTTTCACTGCTAGAAAATCGAATGACCATCAAACTTTTACTTGGATGAATTCAATCAAAATCAGAGTTACTCTCTTGGCCAAACACTGGACATATCAAACTCTAAACGAATGCATCAGTGCCGCCGTTGTGATTTTGCTGATCGAAAAATATAAGCTTTAGCTAAATCAAGCTTTAATATTCAGCGCGCAGACATTGTTGATGTCATGACGTCAGGTTCATGACGTAAATTTTTTTCACCGTAAGAGAATCGAATGACTGTCAAACTGTCAATGAGAGTAATTCAATCAAATTCCAAAATACCTTTGTACAGGCGAACATACGACATATTTAACTCTAATGGAACGAGTAAATACCTTCGTTGTGATTTTGCCGAATGAAAAATAGAATTAAATTCACCACGCGGTCCATTTATTGTGGTGGTTGTCATTTCCAAGTTCTTTGCCAAATTTTTTTCACTGCCACAAATTCCATGGACCGTCCAACTATCGACGGGGAAAATTCAGCTAAATGCAGAGCTAACCTTTTAGCCGAACATTGAACGCATTGAACCCCTATATCGAATATGTCAATGTCTTCGCTGTGATTTTTGCCGATCCACAACGGGAGGGTTACAAATTCCACTCCCTACTCGGCTCAGTAGGCAAGCTCAGTGCTGAGACAAACTTTAACTTTCCAGCCCCTCCCTTCAATCACAACTCTGGAATCTGCTAAAATCTAGCAGACAGGTGACCAGCCACAACCAGGGTACTTTCTCGAGGTAGAGAAAGGACCCTGGGAATGAGGTTGATCCCCTATAGGTTGCTATGCATAGCAAAGAATTGTACCGGATTGGTTCAGGGAAATCACGCCACTGTCGCACTTAAATCAAGCGTCACTTATTCTCAACACGAGGTGGGTTGGGAGAATTCAAAACAGTCATGCAAACCTGAGACGTAGTCTAGAGTTTGCATAACTTTCGAGAATTCTCCCAGCTGCCCCGAGTGTTGAGATGAGGCTATGTAAACACGGAAAAAGTGCTCTGTTGCTTTTATAAATTAATCTCAAAAATACAGGCGAATCTTAAACGTCACAACCTTGTTTACATCCTCTCATCTAAACACAGCTATCGTTCAATGAAGGCGCGCGTAGAAGCTCAGTTATTTTATAATATGGAATATAAAACGTACAGCAAAAGCAGAATTGAACTGCGAGACCTACAGATCTTACACAAAATGCTGGAAAAGTCAAGTGAGTTAATTCTTTTGTCATCAGAGCACCACAGTGAGCCAAAAAAACCTGGACGTAACCTTGAATATTGCAAGAATTCAAAAAAACCCGCTCAGAAAACTTGCAGTTGTGTCACAGGCGTTGTAGGCCATTTGATTCAAGCGTTGAATGAAAGGAGCGTTAGTGGCGGTGGAGATTTGTGTCGTCTATAGTTGGTGATTATCAAGTGCATTATTTTGACATAATGTCAGAGACAATTTCTAGCTGTGATAGAGACATCCTTGAGCTGTAGTGAGCCATATTTTTCTCGCTGCTGTATCCCGAAACGGACTGGAACAATCGCGACGGAAAGCAAGGTTATTTGTTTTGTTGTGATGTTTCTTTCCTAATACCAATATGAGTAAACAGTTATTTTGAGACTGAGAAAAGTTGATTTTTGAATGATATTAATCTCATAAACATTTTGCTTATTGGGTTTGTTAAATTCAAGGCAAAGCAATGGTTTCTTACCTTGAAATAATTTCAAGACTAATTTTGTTTGGGTTAGTCTCGCTCGACTTCCGACTGAGATTGTTTGAGTATTTTTTGCGAGTCATTTTTGAGTTATTTTTTTGTTAAAAAAAATACCTCTTAGTTGGCGCGTCGGGTATGTTATGGACGGGTCAATGGGTGAGTGAGTGAGTGAGTGAGTGAG